GCTCCTAGACAAATCTTCTAAACTAAAAAGATATAGTTAGGTTAATTGATTTCCCTAGTTAATTAGGTTGATAGATTTTCAATTTTGTTTGTGTGTTGCTTATTTCGATCGACTTTATATGGGGAGAAGAATTGTTCGGCTTCCTCAAAGCTTTCGCCCAAATACGGATCACATGCTGATTTAGGTGATGTTTGTGAAGTCTTCTACAAATGGGACGAACAAAAATTATGTGAAGATCGCGAGCTCTCTCTTGAGCAAATCTCTGAAAAGTCTGGATTAATGGAGGCTCCCACTAAAAAAACTCGTAAGTTTCATATTATTTAAGAGACAGCTTCACAGAACCGATTACAAGTTTCGTATTAGTCTTTTTGGTTGCACTAAACTCACTTATGTTTTGAACGTTGTGATCTAGGCTCTGCAAATAATCAGGTGAAATAGAGTAAATTTGCAGTGGTTTGTGCATCCTCTACCAACGATGGGTTGTTCAATGTGCATAGAGAGAAACACTTGAAGGTGCAGAACTAAGATCTTGTCAACCTAACTTGGTTGTTGCATGTAGATCTCATCATCACCCGCATGGAGAAAAGGAAAAAGAGTTGAGTAGGAAAAGAAGAAGATTTTAAAGAGCTGTCAAGAGAGAAAAGTCTTATCGCAGGCTCTCCGAGACAAAGTGCTCATAGAAGAAATAGCAAAGACAAGAGAGTAGCGTTCCAGACTAGAGTCTCGGTCTGACAGAAAAGAGAGAGATCATGAGGGAAGGAAGATCGATATGGTGAAGTCCAAGTAGAGTTTTATCTCTACTCTATCAAAAATGCGGTTTGAATTTAAAGAGAGTTTTTATAAATATTCTAATACAATTAGCAGGAACTGAAGCGTAACCAAATCGGAACCATCGTCTACTTCACACATGTTCTTCTATGTGGCATCACAAAAGTTTAGCATCTCATGAGATAGCCCAATATAATCAACGTTCAATTTTCTTTCTCTATTTAAATCCAACATAAAGGTATAACAATTCGACATTCCGAGACCAAATAACATTTCTTCAAAGAGAAATTCATGAAAGAGTAATACATTGGAAGGACGAAAAATGAAGAAAAAGTTTTTTGTGGGTGGGTAGTAAAATAAATTCCGTACCAATACGGCTTTTTGTATCCACAAGTTTGACCCCCTACAAAAATATAACATGAGATTGGCATAAGATAACCATAGAAACCTTACAAAGACGATAAAAGAAAAATCAACCAACCTTTCTAAATCACTGGCCGAGGCTACCCAAGAGTCGTTCTACAGCAGCGTTAACGTTGCCGTTGGTTGCACGTAACGCCCTAATGTTCTCTGCTCTGTCAAAGAAACCCATTTCTTCAAGCTGTTGCAATTGCGTAGCATAAAGCTCTTCAGGAGGAACTGAGGCAGTAGACAAACACAGAAATGTATGTTTTAAATCGGACCATCTCTGAGTATATTACATTTTAAAGAAACTGGTCTAGAGAGTTGCATCTCACCATTAGATTGGTTCACACCACTTAAGCCGCCAGCACCAAGGCCGCCAAACATATTCATCAATAAATCCAGCCCCCCGTTATTCCCTGTGCCTAAAACCATTGCGTGGTGATTAAAAAACTCAATCCATTAGTTCCACATGATGTTATGAGTAAAACAAACGCGCAAAGACAGACATAGAATCGACTAGCACCATGAAAGCATAGCATATAAAGTGATGTAATTAAGGCCTGTGAATCGTAGATACACAATTAATATCTGATTCCAAGAGTACCTGTTGTAGCACCAGTTTGCCCCGGAGCCCTACATAAAAGACAAATGAAATTTGATCAGCATTCAAATATAGAAATCAAAACATTGATAACTATGTCAAAAGAAAATAATAAGTCAATGTTCAAGTTTACTTCAACCATTATAATACTTCATAATCTTTAAAAGGTTACTAATAATTTCAAAGTCAGCCTAGTAAACACAACTAGTTATTTTCCATATGGGAAACAGACCAGAGTATTTGCTTTACACAGTAATGATGTAGTCCATTCTTTAGTGAAAAAGTTAATTGCTAACCATCTAAATTAACTATTTATCTATTAAGAAGACCATTTGAACGAGAACCCAACCAAAATATAAATAACATGTCCCTTCTCAACTAAATTTAAATATGTAAGAAAACAGCAAAGGAAATTCTCACTTACTGGCTGGTTGTATTCCTGAAAAGTGATTGCTGTAGAGTCATCATTTGCTAAGGACCAAAAACAATTCCACAAACATTAGGCTAGAGAAACTTCATCACATTAAAGATACAGAAATCTTCTGTGAAGAGACTACATGCATAAAAACAGCAGAGGTACATGTGAGGAGGCTGAACAAACCTGCATTGTCTCTGGGGAGCTAAGCATACGAAGGAACTCTGGGTTCTGCATCATTTCCCTCACCTGCGGACTTGAATCCATCATGCTTCGGAGTTGTGGGTTGAGACTCATGATCTGGAATTGAGACATAATATTAAAATCATGTTATCAATAACTATAAAGCCTTAATTATATTAGTCCAGGAGTTACCTGATTCATGTATTGTGGATTGGAAAGTAAGCTTTGCATCATCTGTGACATGGCTGGATTTTGTAAAAACTGGTTCATTTGAGAGGCATCTGGAGTAGCCGTTGGATCCCCACCTAGCATTTCCAGTCCACCAAGGCCAATAAGGTCACCGAGGCTACCAATGCCAGGGGCTCTAGTATCCCCACCTGAATTCGTCCTCCCAGGCGTAGTTGTCTGGCCTGTCAAGTAAGAGTAGAAAAAGTTGGTCATATCTATTGCATCACGAGTACAATCCATGCTACAAAATGCCGCCAAGAAAGTTATTTACTAACGCTAACCATTAATTACTGACAACAAATCGTGAGAGCTACATCAACAAATTACTATACCATATTGTTCCTAAACTAGTGTGGTTAACATAAGCATAACCAAAATATTGGTATGAACACGTCCCTCTCTAATAAGTTTATCATGTGCAAGCTTGTCTTACTGTTATAAACTTTTATAGTGTTCCGTATACACGACAATTAATAAGCAAAAGGAAGTAAACACTATGAGAATGTAGTTTCTTACCACCAGCAGCACCCCAAGGATTTGGGAGTGGATTAGTATTCGGCACAGCATTCCCTGTGCCTGTTTCGGCATTGGTTGTCATGGGATTGTTAGAAGCATCTCTACCTTGTGTAGCACCCTGACCCTGATTCCCCAGGAGAGCAGCAAATGGATTAGAATCCGCATTGTTTCCAGCATTCCCTGACATTGTTGTAGCGTTCAACAACGGTTCCTGGACATTTTCATACATACGCCTAAGCATGTTAAACCCTTCAGGAGTAGATTCGATATTACTCATCGCTCTATCAGTATTCCGCATCATCTCACGCATAAGCTCCGGGTTTCTTGCAGCTTCTAAAGTTTGCCGAAGTATGCTCGGGTCGTTAAGTATATGGCCAAGCTCAGGATTTCGATCCACAAGCTCACGCATTTGAGGGTTACTCATAATCAAGGTCCTCATAAGTTCAGGGTTGTTCATAAGATTCTGAATAGCCGGTGTATTCATCATATCTCTAACCATATTCGGGTTTTGAGCTAGTTGTTGCTGTGCTTGCTCAAGATCCGGAAGACCAGCTCCAAATAACCCAGGCATAGCATTTCCACCACCCAACGGATTAAATCCAAGCCCCGGAAACAAAGACTCCCCTCCGGTATTTGCGCTATCATTAGAACCAACCCCTCGGGTAACACTAGGTGTAGTAGTGGTTTGGCTTCCAGCATTTGCAGAAGGAGGTGCTGATGAAGGCGGCGCAGAGCCTCGAACCATATGAAGAGCGTGATCCGCTTGTAAACCTAGAGGTCAAATAGTTCATAGAGAAACAGAACAGTGAGGTTCATGAGCCAAAAACATCATAACCACAGAGGCAAATCCTTCGATTGTGTGATCATCATTCATGCAATCAAATCCCTAACGAAATCAAATCAAGAAAAAGTACCATAGCTCAAGAGAGTTTGATCATCCTTGAGGATACGTCCCTTGTAAATCAAACGCTGCTGATTAGCTGGAACGTCGCAGTTCTGAGCAACCAAGGCTTTGAAAGACTCGACCGTAGATTCAAGGCTCGTCCTCACGCTGAATTTCGAGCCATTCGAGCACCTTACGTTCACAGCAACCACCTCTCCTCCGCCTCCTTCGCCACCATCAACGACGGTCTTCGGCTCATTCGAATCTCCTTCCCCACTCATCTCCAAAAATTTATCCACTCGACGCAAATTCGAGATCAACAAAATTGATGAGGTCGTGAAATCAATCGATGAGGAAACCCTAACCCTAGACAAAGATTTAACGGAGAAGAAGAAGAAGACTCAAAAACTCTCGTCGATTTGGGAGATTGAAACGGAAAAAATTGGGATCGATTTAATTTTATGTTGTCGTGTTGAACAGCAAATTTGTACATGATAGTGAAAAGTTTCCTTAAGATAAAGTATCGGGCCGGGTGGGTATATCGGGTCGGATTCTCCATCTAAATGCGTGCCACGTGATGACGTTAATACGACATCGTTAAAGCTTCTACTTAAACTACTG